TTACACTCGGCAGCAAGACTTCTGTCTATGCCCCGTAAATGAGTTCTGTATAATTCTTTATGAGGAAACATTACCATTACTAGAAATGACAACAAGACATTAACCTGTTTTTTTACCATCGCGTAAAGAGTGCCTTCACACACGTATATCTCAAGTACTTATTAGTCCAGAGCATGATTTTTAATTACATCCGGCAGCAATGCGAATGGATATTTTGAGGAGCGTGGAACCACCTCTTAATTGCTGTTTTTCCAGGTCCACCCTGACCGGGGTGCTAGAACAAGTTAGGTTGCTATCTACGAACAAATTGTGACCCCCCCGGACAGAAATTGTGACCCCCCCGGACAGAAATTGTGACCCCCCCCCGGACACTTTTACAATATAAAAGGTCATTTCAATAGTAAAAATAACAGCAATACATACACACAGACACACACACACACACACACACACACACACACACACACATATATATATATATATATATATATATATATATATATATATATATATATATATAAAAATAAACTACAATACATATAGTAAAATGACTAGCAATACATTTTATCTATAGCTAAAGTCCTAAAATATTGATCAAAATATTTGGATTTCTGAATTCAATAACAGATGGTGTTTGATATGGCCCTAAATAAACCAACTAAACAATCAAGATGAATGAATTTTTTTGACATTAATCCATATATACAATTACTTAAGTCAAACTGTATTCCAAAATATAACTTGAACAAAACAGTAGGAGAAAACGCACGTATAATCTCCTCTAATAATTTATATGTACAAAAGTTGAGTATCATCTACCATTTATTCAGTTGTGAAAGCAGAATAACATATATGTGTATTATTTCAAAGCTTTCACGAAAATTAAATTTCGGCATTGAACATTTAAGTCAATGCTCAAAGCCGACGGACTGTTTCATGCAAATATCAGGCCACTATATTTTTTGATAATTTTCTTATCAACAAACAATCCGAAAGAACACTCACATGCATACCCTAAAAAGATGGTATGCTGTTAAAGAAATCAACCAACTATGAATTACCATATTCTCTCGTTCTTTGAGGGAAAAATGTTAGAATCTAGGAGAAAAATGACAGTTCAACACGAATAAAATGATGGGGGATGAAATCACAAAAAATGGTAAAGGAATATGGATACACGCAGAGATTTCGCATTTGGAAGGTGTCCTCAACTATTCCCCTGCGAATTTGGATTTCTGTGTCAAATTTTCCTTCGTCTACATTCCCTAGATAGTTAAAAATTCTGTACTCGACTTTGGGTGTGGTCAACGCACCCAATAACTCACCTGCAGATCATTCGTCCGATTAATACATGATATAATTATTTCTTCTTCGACTCATTATTTCAGACACTATCACATATGACGAGATGTTGATTCGCAATCAGAAAAGATGGCGGCGATAGGCGTTTGAATAAATGGAATAACGATGGAGTTGCATAAGAACATTTACAGGGAATATTTGATGAATAATGTTTTTGAATTTGAAAATGTTGCCTTCCGTCATTTTCACGGCTGCAGACTTTTTTAATATGAGCAAATCGTCCGTAACTTTTTTTTTCCAAACGAATGCAGTTTGAAAAATGAACCCAGTTAATTGGCTCGTAATTTTCTTTGAAAGCCTGAATGATTGCCTGATAAAAATTAAATAAACAATTTTCGTTTACCTCTGGGATGAAACTGCAAACTTGGAGTTCATAATAAATTACAAAAAAAATAAATAAATAAATAGAAAGTCAGCTTTTTTTAATTTTTTTTTTCTGTTCGTTTTTATGAGATGAGAGCATGTGGGAAATTAGTCAATGCTGTTCAAAGCTATTTGCCTTAAAACGGATTTTAAGCAGATTAAAAATTATTCAAGGTTTATTCATGCATTAGGGCTTGCATCTCTTTCTTTCACTCTCTCTCTTTCTCTCTCTCTCTCTCTCTCTCTCTGTAAGCCTTTATCTGTATGTGTATGCATGCATGCAAGTGTGTATCTGCTTACGCTAGCACAAACATTGACATATATGTATATAAAGAGAGAGAGAGAGAGAGGAAGAGGAGGGAGACTATGACAGGTTGTGTCGAGGTCTGTCCAAAAAGTATCCAGCCATTTAACATGGACGAATAAACAGCCAATGGAATGAAATCACACCTGAGTAAATTTCAACAGATACTTGACTTTACCTCTATTTTTCAATTAAAAAAAAAAAAAAATGTTTACGGCCACATCAGCTTGATCAATGCCTAGATGTGTGTCCATATATGGAATAACAGGCGCTGTAAGCATAGATATGCAGCTGATATAATGGATAATGTCTCGGATATGTTAATCGGAGAGCCGAGTTCAAATTCCATTTGTGCTCATTATATTCACTTACGGGAAAATACTCTTGGAAAAGTTATAATTGTGCCTCTTAATATCAGATAAACAATCAAATGAGAATGAAAAATCAGCATTCAGGAAGACTTTCAGATGAGTATTCGTATTCTCCTTAATCTCGAGCAAGGTATGAAGAATAGTGGGTATGATGATAAACTACATCCTGCATCAAGGTCTTATATGGGGAGGTTCTGAAGAACGTGGAACCACCACTTAATTTCTGATGTTCCCAGGTTCACTTTCACACGGGTTGGTAGCACTTGTGAGTGTCCCAGCTATGGGTAAATAGTTAAACCCCAAACTGCAGTCAAAACACTAAAAGTATGAAAATACATTTTTATAGTAAAATCACAAGCAATACATTTTTGAAAAAAAAGTTTCCAGCAATCCATATTTGAAAAAAAAAATTACCAGGATAAAAATTTTACTCCCGACCCAAACTCACTTTATAAAAATACGTAAATGAAAACTGACCTACAAACTCATTATTTACACAGAATACATATAATATTCATACGAACCTATCTTAAATTTTTATCTTAAAAATATCCCACATAGGTTGATATGCCGTAAAACAGAATAAACCAATCCAAACCAATTAAGGTATAAATTGTTCTCTTCAATTTATTATACTAAACTTACAACAATACAAGGAACGAAAGTCACTCAAATTAGTGTTACAACATTTTTATGCTGAATGAGGTGTCGGAGTTATCTCCTCCTTAATTCCTAAATTGTCACTAGGGGTCGTTCTCCCTATACTATACATACTGGACGACTTTTTCATTTCTTCATTTATGCGAAGACCTCTACAATGTGATCTTCTAGGAAGACGCCATTAACATTATACATACATACACGTACATACGAACATTCACCAAAATACGAACATTCACCAAAGAACAGACACAAATGTTTACGCACACACAAATGTCATTGTGTATGACCATCTTAAAATTGTTTTGTTTAATACATATATTTGATAAAACATACATTTGTTTATATATATATATATATATATATATATATATATATATATATATATATATATATATTGGTCATTTTGTCTTCTTTATCTTCAGTTAGACTTAATTCAAATCCGGCCATTTTCTTGTAGTTAGACCTTCTTCTCGCAGGAAATATAAACGCACGTCTTTTTCTTTTCATCCTCACCCCCCCCCGGTCCTCTAAAGAGGTACGTGGTATGAATAAGACAAGCTGTGGTAGGAAGTGAATATTGTGAACGTATGAAGGATAGACAACGATCGACTTTTGAAGGGAACGCCCATTCTATGCCCCACATACAGTCTGGTTAATTCATGGAATAATTATTTCTTCATTTCAGTGTTTCTCATAATATCATGTTTACCGTAGACAGGAGATGAATTCTGAAAGATGAAAATACTCATTTAAATACTCATTTAAATAATGTTTATGCTTACATTTGAGGCTGTATTTAAATATTGGTGTGTCGATACTTCACGCAATAGGAAAACTTTGACTGTTTTCATACATGAGATTATAAGTAAATCTCAGTTCTTGGTTGTGCATATACTTGTGTTTATACCTCCATGTGGAATCCATTTTGCTAAGTTGGAACACCCAGTAAAACGCTGTATGGGGTTATAACTTGGAAAACGAACGAAATGAGGCCTACTCAACTCACCCGAATCTACCATAGCGTATCTTAAGTGTAAAGGTCTGAACTTGGGAATCTAAAGAATGGATATCATTGGAATGTCTGCCATTCATCGGTGAGTGATAGATTTGCTTTGTAGCGTCTGTGGCAAAGATGTTGTAGAGTAGAGAATATGTCTTGCTTTTTTCTATTCTCATTGCCCAGCCTTGACAATATGCATGGCAGAGACGGTGGTCGAATCGTGAAAGATGACGAATAAAAGAATTAACGTTGATGCTTATATTTGAGTTTGTAATTAAATATTAGGTTCTGTTCATACTTGAGGCAATAGGAAAACATTGGCAGTATTTATAATAAAGACAATAGGCTAGTCTTAATAAAAGCTTAAAAATGAGGAAAGAACTGCTCCTTGCCCGAATTTAATGTCAAGGAACGAAATCTGTGATGGACAGCTGTTGAAGTAACTCGACGATGCAATGCGACCAATGCACGAGATGTGAGGGCACATTGTCATGATAAATGCGGATATAAAACACGCACATATGAATATGATTTTTACTGCCGGATGAGTAATAAGTTAAGGACACGAACTGACAACCAATTTATATCAAGACACGCAAACGAGTCTAGTGATATTATAAGTTTTAAGTTTTTAACTTTGAAGAGAACCATTACGTCTGTCTTGGTATGTGTGCATATATATATATATATATATATATATATATATATATATATATATATATATATATATATATATGGGGAGGGTGTATGTTTGTATTTATTTATGTATTTGTATTTGCATATTTGTAGGTATATCAGTGTGTACATTGATATAAATGTCTGTGCATCTGCCAATTTATGCGTAATATCAGTGAAAATATGTCTGTGTGTATGCATCTGTCAGTTTTTTTTATATTAGTGTGTTCATATAATTGATTTTAAACACACACACACAGACTATGATAGATAGATAGATATAAGCAAAGATAGATAGATAGAAAGATAGAAAGATAGATAGATATATATGAATAGAGTAAGATAGTTATCAGTATACTAAGGTAGACAGATATGCGTAGATTAAGATAGATAGATAGATAGATAGATAGATATGAGCAGAGTAAGATAGATATCAGTATACTAAGGTAGATAGATATGCGTAGATTAAGATAGATAGATAGATAGATAGATATGAGTAGAGTAAGATAGAAATCAGTATACTCAGGTGGATAGATAGATATCCTTCGATTAAGATAGATAGATAGATAGATAGATAGATAGATAGATAGATAGATAGATAGATGTGAGTAGACAATGATAGATAGATAGATAGATAGATAGATAGATAGATAGATAGATAGATATGAGTAGAGTAAGATAGATATCGGTATACTAAGGTAGATAGATAGATATGCGTAGATTAAGATAGATAGATAGATAGATAGATAGATAGATAGATAGATAGATAGATAGATAGATAGATATGAGTAGAGTAGATAGATATCAGTCTACTAAGGTAGATAGATAGATATGCGTAGATTAAGATAGATAGATAGATAGATAGATATGAGTAGACTATGATAGATAGATAAATAGATAGATAGATAGATATGCGTAGACTAAGAGAGATAGCTAGAGAGCTAGCAAGATAAATAGATATGAATAGACTAACATAGCTAGCTAGATGGGTATGAGTAGACCCAGATAGATAGATAGATATATATATATATAGATAGATAGATAGATAGATAGATAGATACACACACACACACACACACACAGACACGGGAATAAATGATAAATTAAAGTTAATTTTTACGCGGTAAATGCAACCCCAAGCATGCACATAGGTTGATATGTAGGAATCCTCGCGGATCATTCCATCGTTCAGTACCAGAGGCATAAGAGCAACGAGATCAGACGTATGGACATTCCACCAGATTGCACTACCGAATTCCAATACCATCTAGGGCACTTTCTGTGAGAAGATGGAGTTAAACTAACGTTAGATGTTCGCGTAGTATAGAACATCCATCATGAATCAACGAAATTTATAAGTTATTCCACTTAGCACCCTAAAATCGTCACTAGGAGGTGCATTCTGAACCAATTAATACACTGTACTATTTTCTATCATTAATTTTTTTCTTGTATTCCTTAGACACGCTAGGATGTAAGCCCATCGTGAAAATGCGTTTCTCATTTGGAAACGAATACACAAACGCACACACAGACTTACGTACGCAATTTCATTTTACTTTATTTTTCTCTAGGTCTTCTACACACATTTTACATATACGAACAATTCACTTAACTTTAAATGTTTTCATGCATGCTCATGGTTTGTCATATACATACAATATTATTGATTCTGTCGCTCGCAACAATGTAACTTTTTTTGTTAATCTGTAATAATGTTAAGAATCAGGCTGAACGATAAAATGTGATAATAGGGTTGAGTTTAATTCCCCACACCCCACTGAAAAAAAGCACAAATAAAATAAAAACGGCAAATATTTAAACTATACAATACTTAAGAAAAAAGGGTTAAAAATAGGAACATTAAGATTACCTCCTCGGTTATCCATTGAAACTGCAATCCGCCGAAAAAAAAAGAAAAGAAGCCAGTCCCCACCGCGGGTCATTTAAAAGATAGTTCACGCAGTGGATTGGTTGTTACAAACATGCAACCGGATGTGCGGAATACGCGGTCTTTTTTCGTCTAATTCTTTAAAAAGTCCAGGGTAACTGTTAGCGTTTGTTTGTGAGGGGGAATCAGGGATTGATCTCCCCTGATTGGGTCGATTTGGTGATGGGGAGTATGATGGTGAAAGACCCGAAACTCCCTGATGAACCAAGTCAAAACACCACCGACGACACCCCTACTTAAAAGCGTATTTTTAAATTAGTAATTCATTATTTTTGCAGCAAGAATAAAACGTTCAGTTTCAGTGTTGAAACCTTCCTATTTGTCCACTGACGGGTAAGGCGTTTCTCTACACCATTTTATATGGCACAAGAAGATTAGTGATCATAAAGGTGTTGATGTTGCCATCATTTCTGCATTTTGTAAGTTACCTTTTCTTTTGCTTTCTATTTTATAGGTTCTTTCCTGCTGTAGTTGGTGTATTATGGTTTGCTTGTTCTTTATCCACTTGAAATGCACCATTGGATTGGTTGGCTTCATTTATTACGGAATAAATTTTCATATTCTTTAACATATATCATCCATATATCTTTGAAGACAGATTGTTTCAGTTTGGTGAGACTTTTCTAGTTGAACTAATCCTCTACCTTCTTTGGATCTTGATACATATAGACGATCAACAGCGGCCATAGCATGATGTAGCAAGTGATAATCTTTCTCATTTTGATATTCATTCACTTAATGTCAGCTATGGTCCAGTTAAGTATGTGGAAACTGCTTTTGCACCACAAGAAGCTAATATTCAAGTTGGTATATAAAACTAGGTGCACACGCCTGTAGTTTTCATTTCTTACCTTTTCCTTTATTTGGGTATGCTGTATTCTATTTCCTTCGATGACTCCTTGGTAGTTATAGGCTTCTAAATAACCTGTCCACTATTCTTTGTGACAAAATCAAGATGTGTGTCACTGTAATTCTCTTTTGGTCCACTCCGCATTGGGTTTATATTAATTTGGCCTGCTCAATATATTTGCACTTATTCAATATAGGGGTGTTTTCTGACTTCTATAAATTATTTTGCAATTTCACTGTAAATCTTCTTTTGGGTTTTTGTAATATCTTATTTCATCGAGGGAAAGGACAGCGCTTTTTATATCGTCATCTACTCTGAGATTTTCATTGTAGTTTCTGTTTATGTATTTCCTTGATTGTTGGAATTTCATTTGCCAGTTTAATTTTATATTTCCGCTTGTCTTTCCTGTTGTTCCGCGTGGAAACATTAAAGAATTTTTGATATATCATCGATAATTCACGTCTGATTTCTTCCATTTTGTCGCTTTAAGTTTGAATTCAAAACATTATTTGTCTCGATATTACGTTTTCCAGTACCTGCTGAAGCAGTTGCATATATGACATTATTTACTTATGTGATGATTACTAATAGCATCCAAGTTAAAAATGTTTGCAATGCAGCGTTATATGTTTGCCCAGAAGGTTAATTGGATTTCGTAATGTGGATTTTGCAAGTTTGTCTCTTTCTGACATTTGTGTGCGTATTATTTTGCTGATTATTTGAATTATTTTTTCCACTTCGGTGACTTCGACTCATGTTTTCAAAGAAACATGCTTTAATTTCGTATGATTCATCTTCATCAGTGACAGAATCTGAATCAGAGAAATAAATTCTTTATGTCGCGCTAGATTGTTCAGTTTCATTTCCTGTGGGATCATTATTTCGTATCTCATTTATCATAGTTTGCACCTCATTCCCTGTCATACTATATATTTACACTCTTACCTCATTCCTGTTTGAGTTATGTCTTTTTGTACTTTGACTTATATTTAATTTCACTCGATCTATTTGAGAGTCATTTTTTTTTTTGAATGATGTAACTGCGGAAACTGCCAAGCATATTTAGTCGAGATAGAAGTCTTACTTCAGTTCCTATCATATCTCTTTATAATTGGTATCTCTGATCCGTTATGATCTTTTGAGAAATTTAGAGTGCAATGTAAAAAGATATCATGACTTATGTTCTTACTCATCGCGAATGCATTTCTTTTTATTAATTGATTTGGCAATGAGTCACCAGTTCCGGGCTTGGCGTTAATCCGGTTTTGGTGACCAGATGTCTCATTATTCATGGAGGAATTCGTTCCAGACTGATTTTTCGACCTCGGATTAGTTCCTCTCTGAGATGCGCGGCCGTTGTTGGTTCGGGCGTCGAGAGATCCTGTAGGAGTTTTGGTCTGTAAACATGTTATTAAGGCAATTCACCCCAAGCAAATCTCGACTGCCACAAGCACGCAAGGGCATACAGAGGATTGAGTAGAGTCGTGTTTGAGGAAAGGATACACCGAAGGATGGAGAACAATCTTAGAGTGTGAGATGTCGATTGACATTACACTCGAAGATTATAGTCATCGGGGAAGCAAGTAAGAGGAAGGGCTTAACAGGCAGTAAATGCAGGACAAGAAGCTGTTTGAGATGAAGAGACGGTTACATTTCACCGTTTTGACAGTGAAAGGTTTTTGACCGAGATGTCGGCTTGGTAGCTCGTTTAAATTCATGAAGTCTGGGGACCAGTGAATGTAGCTCGTCGGAACAGTTTCCGTGAAAATATTTGTAGAAGAGATAGAGGAAGACCACGGCACGTCTGTGGGATAGCGATTGTTGACTAGATGCCAGATCAGCGCCTACCATCCTGCATATTCGTCTCTGGATTTTGTCAAGGACCTCGAGACCTTGTACTAATTAGTTTCTCAAACGTTTTCATACATGGCTTTACTGGGATAAGCCTTAAAAAAAACAAATCAATCGATGGAACTTCTTCATATCGTTATTCTTCAATCTTTTCTTCTTTTTACAATTCTTTTTCCTTCTACTTTTAACTTTTTTCGTCTTATATCACAGCAGAATATGAGAAATAACCACGAATATGATTTTTTTGAAATTCATATATTCTAACCAAGAATTTGTTGCAAATATACGTTTAGTCCTCTTAATAACACAATTCCCAGAAGCCCAATAGAAAAACAGTTAGTGTTGATGCCTACTTATTTCTCTTCCAAAGTGATTGTATTTGCTTAATTATCATTAGTAGTAGTAGTATTAGCAGTAGTAGTAGTATTAGTAGTATCCTATCCTTGCTTTTTCCTCTTGTCGTTGGTTATTTCGCACGACCGTTACGCTTTTCCAATACCTCCTAAGCAATGTAATATTTCCTTTTAGACGCCCGAAGAGACGGAAATTTCATAGCAGATATTTTACTTGATCTCAGTGAGTAAAGAAAAAGACAGAAAGAAAGATATAAGTATTTAACGTCTCCTGAAAATACCTATAAATAATGGACTATTTTATTTTGATTGCGCGGTAAGAATTATCAAAAAACGCTGTATGGCTTCAGTAAGAATTAAAAAAAAAAAAAAGTTAGAAATTTTGTTTCAGTGAAATGAAAAGAAGTTATCAAATTCAAATCTTTTCATGATTTTTATTGCATTATTTTATTAAAGTTGTTAAGCTGAAATATTTACCTATTCGATTGGGCAATTTCTACGGATATTCTATGGTTTAATCATTAATTTAAGAATGAAGATTCATCAGAAAATTTGAAGAGGAAATCGGTGCCCTTCCTTCCTTCTTTAATTCCTAAGTTTGTTATATTGTTTTCAGATGATAACACGGGAGAAAAATATATTTTGGTATTTTGTTCTTATATACTGTACAGTATCATAAAAAAGGTTTCTATATATTTCCCTTCGAGCATGAAATATACTTTAAACTTGGAAGATTTTCCTGTTTGAAGAATCAACACATTTTAGAGCCATGAAGAAACAACGTATAAATATGTTCATATTTAAATATATTTTAAACCAAAAAGAAGTGTATTTTGTAGATAACTATTCTAAAGCGATAAAACCTAGGAAATTCCACAGGTACTAATAATTATTATGATTATCATTTTTATTTTCTTTGATTTCTGGCGTTTACACATTTCTTTCCAGGTCCCGCCCACGGGACCTCAGGTTAGAAATGGTATCATGTCACTCCACTGACAAAAAAAAAAAAAAAAAAAAAAAATACATAGATAAAGCCCTTCGTAAAGTGTGGGCTGTAGTTGTCAGAACAATTTTTTGTATCTCTTTGAAGCATTGATTTCCAGGAATCCCTTCAATTCGTCTAACGGAATATTTTCCAACCAATCCGAGGGCTCCAATTACAACAGTTATTGTTGATGTTCCTATATGCCACATTTTTGATATTTCTATTTCAAGGTCCTTGTATTTTGACAGCTTTTTGAATATCTTCAAAGATACATTACAGTCTGCAGGGACTGCCATATCAATAAGGAGGCACTTTATTATTATTATTATTATTATTATTATTATTATTATTATTACTCTGACATGAATTATTTTAATAAAGTACCAGTGACTTTTATCGGTACCAGTTGATCATTCTTTCTTTTTATGTGCCGTGATCTTTCAGGGCCTAGACGATCATGGCTCTCCACCTCATTCTATCTCTTGCAACTCTCAACAAGTTCCTTCCCTCTGTTACCTTCCCCAGACCACGTACTGTCACCCACTTGCTTAAGGCCACCAGGTATATCACGCGTTGTTTTTCCCTTGTCTCTCTTTTCCTCTATTCGACATGTTAGTATCAGATTCTCCAGGACCCCTTCCTCATTGCGTGTCACAGAAACTTCAGCTGCCTCTTCCTGATATTAAGTATAGGTCTTCACCTTCTATGCATCCTCCCTAAGACCTTATCGTTGCTCACACGCTCGTTTCATGATATCTTTAGCATCCTTCTGCAGTACCATATCTCCGTCGCCTCGAATCTCTTCTTCATCTTTGAGGAAATGTGCCAATATTCGCCGCCGTAAAGTAGGACAGATGTCACATAAGAGCTCAATATTCCTTTCTTTGTTACCAAAGAAATCCTCCTGTCTCGCAATATTCTGCTCAGCTTTTGGAATATGTCCTTGGCCATCCCAATGCTTTTACGGATATCAGTGTCGCACTTACCGTCTTGTGCCAAGACGCTTCCCAGGTATTTAAACTTCAGCGTCTGCTTGATTGTAGTGTTCCCGACCTTCAGATCGCATTTCTGGATCATCCTCTTACTGACGGCCTTGCACACCTATTTGTATTTCCCCCGTAATGGACAGTATTATTATCCTTGATATAATAATACTGTATTTAACGGATGGGATGGGATGGCTGAAACGAAAAATACTCACAAAAATGCTTTGTCCTCAGAGAGATTTTTCTACTAGTAAGACATACACAAAACTATATATACAGACTACGGAAATCAAAAGAACCATATTCATTTACTATGTCTCATATAAACGGGAAATTGCGATTCTTCGGTTTTCCCAAATTGATAACGTCGAGCTGGAGTTTCTTCCTGTATCTGGGAAGGATATATTCCGAAACACAAACGGCGCCATTGACTTGTAATCTGCTGGCGAGGAAGATGTAGCCTCTGCTCGGGGCTGTGGATACCCGGGCTAAATAAAGCAACCTTTCGTGCTGGAAGCAAACTGCAATTGACTGCTGCTTTCGTCACTGCATGGACTACCGTCACTAAGTGTTCCGTTAGGTGACTTATCTCCACCACAGTGAGATGCCTTCTGCATCCATACAAAAGTATTTTATCTTTAACTAAGAGTCCACTATAAAAAAGCGACACACAATTCCGCTAATTGTAGAACATTACCCTGGGAATATTAACATTAATTACACAGAGAAATATATTCGTCACACACAGCGGCTAGAGGAGAATAACAGAAGAATTTTGTTTACATGGAAATCCCTTGGGTTATGTTCAACTATTCTGTTAACTTGCTTTTTATATACAGTAACTTTTTTTAAAAATTCTCGCTAAACAGTTTTTCTATGCTATTCACTATACTGATAGATTACTTTAAGGGTTTCATGCTTAAATATACTAAAGTCCTTTGAGTGAATATACTATGCTGAACGTTTGCTCCGACATATTTGCCAGTGTGTCCTTATACGGTAATTACTTTTGTTTCATTTGACGGTGTAGGTTTAGTATTCAATAATAATAAAAATTGCTACGTCGAATAAATTCCAAGTTTGCTGTAGTCGATGTCTGTATTATCTTTAATAGATATTTTAATGTTAACAGAATGGTTGGAAAACATGCTTAAGAGGCCTAGTTTTGCTCTGAATCGCGATTGAAATTGACTCATCCAAAAAATATCTTTTTCAGTTCATGATTTGCAAAAAAATAAAAAAAAAAATAACAGAAAAAGAGAAATTCTTTCCAACTCTCATCTCTTCCATCAAAATGGCCTTAACTTGAAAAAAAACTTATGTCGACACAATTGTGTAACTTCCCATTCGTTTACGTGGAATTGTGCTTACATTATTTCATGAAAGACTGATTAAATTTTTCGCAGTGTTCTGCTTAAACATTTTCTCATGTATATATATTTTTTTCTTTGCGAAAGTGATTTTTTCTTTCTTTATTTCTAATGTTTTGTTCGTTCATTTTGTTTTTACGTTCATGCAAGTTCCAGCGTCTATTTGAGCGTTTTTTCTCTTTTCGTAATTTGCCTTTAGGAATTTTTATCTTTTCTTTTCTACTTTCGAAATATTTTTTTTCAATTTGGTTTCTTTGGAATTAAATCTTATTAGGATCATTTTTTTCTACTCTACTTAATACCTACTTTATTCTTTTATCTTCACTTTCTCGCCATCCTCATCCAATTCATACATTTATTCTTCTAATTAATTTCTTGATTTTCTTTTTTTATATCTTCCACTTACTCGATTTTCCTTACCCTAATGATATTCTTCTTCTTCTTATTATTATTATTATTATTATTATTCTTTTTATTATTATTTGCTATATTTTCTACTTTGTATCCTCTAGAGCCGGCACCCGACCATGGTCCTTAGGACCTATATGAAAACTTTCATCTAATTTATATGACTTTTCGTATTATATGGGATGTTTCTAGTTGGGCGTTCTTCTGGGCAACTTCTATGTTGATGTTACCTCTTAGCAAAATTGTCCATTACTTTTCTCACGAGGCCCAGATATTCGTTTACTATTGGTACAGTCTCAGGCTTCATTCCCTACATCCTGTTAATCCAACTCTCCAGATCCCTGTATTTGGAAACTTTCTCGATAATTTTCATGCAGGTGTTTCTACATCAATGTCAATAAGCCTACACTTTCTTAATTTATTCTCTTGTATGATAATATCAGGTCTGTTGGCTTTTATTTCCCTGTCAGTTTGAATCCCAGTGGATAGTTACATCGTTATTTTGGGTAAGTGTGTCAGGTTGGTTTTCATAAAATCTCTCAGTGATTTCGATTTTGTGCCTCCTGCATATCTTCCAGTGGCCATATATCGCTAACTTTTTATGTCTGTGAGTATTATTAGTAATACTGCTGCTGCTTCCTCCTTTAATTTTAACGCCTTCAAAATGAAACTGCAGTGTTTTAATCATATTAGTGAACCATTTTACCCTCCATCATGACTGTTCGTAATCTTCAGAAGAACAACTAATTTCCCTTTTTGGTCTCAGGTTTACTACTGACATGAATTCGACCGATTATACTGAATCAATTGCTAGGTCTGCTGCTAAGAATGTTGCTTCATTGTGATTTGGCAAAAGATCTTTCTCGTCAGAATTTTTAAATTTACGATTCTATTCTCTATTACTGCTATCCTTAGTCTTGTACTCTGGCTATATAAACCGAGATTCTCGACAAAATACTAGTGTTTGCAATGTTATCGACTTTGTCGTGATATATCTACTCCACATATTCTCCACATTCCCAACGCCATCTTGTTCTTGTTCTTGTTCATTTTCATGCTCTTCGAAATATCCTCATTCACTACTTTATAATTCAATTTTTGCTTCGAGGCTAATGCACCAGATCAAAGGAAATCCTCCTCAAATACTTTACATATTTCTCCTTTTTTTTCTGAATAACATTTATCTTCGAAAAAAAAATGCTTTCTGGTCAAAAAGATTCCCCTTATTTTATGAAAGTTATCTTCAAATCATTTTATTAAGTATTTCTTTGCTGCGAAATTAAGACATTGATCGATTATCCTTTCAGAATCTCCTTCCTTCCACGTAAAACATTACAAAACCCATCAGGTTTACCATCAAGCACTGCCTTGACCTTTCGCTACACCCTAACGTTTATTTAATATTCTTCTTTATTTTTTCAGCAGTACCGTTGTTAATTTTACCTATCATCACCTGCTACCTTTTTCCTTCTTTCATCTTCCTTTTCTCACATATACTTAGATATAAAGCTCTGTGTACGTTCCTTCGCATGTGTGCGCGTCTGCGTTTGTGTGCGTGTGTGTTTTTTATATATTCTATGTATGGATTAGCTTTTATTCCCTCTTTACTGTCACACAACTTTCCACGTTTTTTCTTAACACTTTCCTTCCGATGAATCCCATTCCCCAATATCATTAGTGACTGTACACTAATCTCTCGTGCAGGCGAAAGTGGCACGCTAATTCCTCTCAAATTCAACAGCTAATTCTTTTTTTTCTTCTTTCTAAGTAAACTTGGAAACGTTCAGTGTTATTAAGAACAATGGATTTTTATTATATTTACTTTTTCAATTGTTTTATATATATATATATATATATAGCTTCTGCTATTTTATTTGCACTTATCTTTTCAGGGAAAAAATTACTCGGCCTACCGTAAATTACTACACAGAAGTCGACATCTTCAAATTGAAAACCTCTTTCCAAAACTCGGGCTCGACCTTTACGTCAGGTTGAAATATAAATCTTCCCTGTACAGCATGAATCTTATTCTTCATGATTTAACTCCAGGAAGTCAAAATAAATATTTCCTATTAAAGATGGTGAAATAATTTTGGTAAGTCATCTTCATCGTCGAAACAGTGAATGTGTATTACAGAGGAGTTTATGGTTAAGGATTAGCAAAAAATAATAAAAGAAAAAACAAATCTAAGTAAAATAGGGCAGCTACAGTGGTTGGTGGAAATATATCGCACTGCTGAAAGATAATATATTGCTGATATATTTGCCGGCCTAAATCCCCCCAAAAAGCAAGAAGATGGATATGATGGAATCTTTTCTTTAGCCCCTGAAATGACGAATCAGCAATTATTAAGAATAACAAATTTCCTCGTAAAAAAAGTTTCTTGCTGTAATATTTTTCGATGAGAATATTTTGCTCGTAGAAACTTTGATCTGCAACTTGTTTTGGTAAGTTTGTACCACTCCCTTCTTTCTAAGCGTCACTAACAAAATCTCTGTAATGTTTCCCTACTGAGCACAATAAAAGTTGCCCATACAGACCATATGAGTTGTTCTATTTAATACTATTTAAAAAAAAATATTCTAGCTGAAAAGAGAGTTTATTTGGTTTTCAGTACGAGGCAGAGAGCAATTTCGGTGTAGTAAGACAACAGTGGAGACTAACGTAGGAAACAGGTCCGCACACGATGAAACACCGGACGTGGTAGCCAAACACCGTTTCAGGGCGATTATTTAATCACAGTGGCATTAAATATATCTGTTGAAATGTTAACAGATAACTATTGAAAGGAAAATAATATTTTGTAAACTTTATTTTCAATATAGGTAAATTATGACAAGTAATGTGAATTGGTTTGTTTTGTTTTGTTTTACGGCATATCAACAATAATGGGTTATTTACTCCCGACAAATTTTCCTTATTTTTCAAAAATGTACAGCTGATAATTTTTTCAGAAATGTATAGCTGGTAATATATTTGTTTTTTTTTTTAAATGTATAGTTTGGTTTGTTTTGTTTTGAGGCATATTAACCTGAATGGGTTATTTAATGCTGACAAGATGTTTATTTCTGGTAATGTTTTCTTTTTTGAAATATCTATTGCTGATAGTAATTTTCTTAAAAGTATTTCTGTTATTAAAATCTATTTTTACACTTTTATAGTGTTTTCAGTCAGGTTCTGGGGTGAACTATTTGCCCATAGCTTGGACCCTAACAGGTGCTACCACCCCGGGTCAGGCTGGACCTGGGAATATCAGTAATTAACAGGTGGTTCCACGATCCTCAAAACCTCCTGATCAGAGTCATTGCTGTTGGACGTAGTTTATCGTCTTACCCAGGACGTGAATGCAGTTCATCGTCATACCGAGGACGCGACAAGTAATGAGGAGTCAGATTATCAGTCTACTTTCAAATAAAATTTGACAACTACACATCTAATCAACGCAAATTTTGATGGTTTCGCCCGTTCAAATGTAATATCTATATATCTGAGATGACGTATTATGATTACTTGCATTACATTATTCGTAATGTCATCCTCATCTTCATTGCCATATTCACAAAGTTTCGGCCTCTATACCTCCGAGATGAGGTATTATGATTGCCTGCATTATTTACATTATTTGGACTATTATCCTTATCTTCATTGGCATATTCACAACGCTTCGGCCGTTGTACGCTCCGAAGTTCTTCTGGTGATTGGAATTTCGAACCGAACCCTTTATTTTGACCAACTGGGTAGATTGTTTTATTTTCCCGTGTCATGCCTGAGTTATAACAAGTATTTAACTTCACCAATGTTATAGACTGGTGTTGATCTCACAAGTCTATGGGGCAAGTCACTGAATCTAACCAACGTATTTATCCACTTGGCCATGCGTCCTTGAGTTGTGAGTTCAATACCAGGTGGTGAAAGAAAATCTTAGAGAGTTGAGTAAAAAGGAAATAACTGAGACATCCGGAAGAGGCATGACACGTAAAACTAGAACAACCTACCTACGTGGACGAAATAAAGAGTTCGGTTCGAAATTCTAATCGCCTGAAGAAGGCCGGAGCTAGAACGGCCGAAATGTTGGGAATATGGCTATGAAGATGGGGATAAAATTCCGAATAATGTAAATAATCCAAATAATCATAATACCTCATCTCAGAGATATAGAGACAAAAGCGTTGTGAATATGGCAATGAAGATGAGGATATTAGTCCGAATAATGTAAATAATGCATGTAATGAATCTGTTATATTTTATCACTTTTGCTATCCTGGCTTTATTTTGTAAATAATCATGGAAGTAAATCTAAGCTATGCTAAATTATTTCGAATTATTCTTCTATCTTTAGCAACTAGCAGCGTTGTGCATGGCTCGTGAT